AGTCGGACATCTGGAAGCCCAAATTCGGAATTTGTTTCATTATCTATTTCATATTTTGTCAAACATTAAAGAATTTTTGATTATCAAACTCAACGATTTCAAAGCGAGCAACGGCAACAATGTACGAAAAAAAAAACATATTTATCTCCAGCTCGCGAGACTGTGTATTGGAAATTCTAAAGATATGAGCTTTTAAATATTTTGTGATATTGCTGTTGGAATGGAATTTTATGTTTTAGAGAGCGAAGAACATGATATTTAATAAGAGAACACACACAAAAAAAAAAACGCCCCTTTGGGCATATAAAATCTGAAAGCTTCCAGATATTTATTTTTCTGGTTTTTTTCCATTGATTAATGTATATTTCTGTTGTACTGTATGCAATATATTTTTTACAGGCGTTCAACCTTGTTGTGGCAGTAATGTAATAAGTGATACCGGTCCTCTTCGTGCTTTTCAAGAAACAGTTAACTTAACTTTCAAATCCATTACTGTGAAGCCCCGAGCAGGATATAAACCGTCTAAGATATTTGATTTGCGAATAATTAGATATGATATACCATACTTTCTGGCACTGCAATGGACAGCTCCTGGAGCGGAAGCTGATAGAGGAAATGGTAATAAAGTTCATTAAAAATGTTTTCTTTTTATGAGTTTCTAATAATACCCAACAAATCTTGAATCAGAACTTTATCTGAAATCAAAATATTTCATGTAAAACAATTTAGTAAATTGTTTTCATGTAAAACAATTTACTAGTATTTGTTTGTCAATAAATTTATTTCTCATTCCTAAAGATCTGTAAACTAAAGTTGTATATGTGAATTATACTATTACATGAAGATTACACTGATTACATTATGATCTCAAACCTCCAGTTACATTATTTTTGAAAGGCGATCCAGATGGAGGAAATTTCGAAGGCCCTTTTCTTAAACCTTTTTTTACTCTTATCGGTTCCTCACAGGTAATTAATCCTGCCATTTTGCGCAGCCATCGTTTTAAGCTGCTTTTAATTTCTATATCACATCGAAAAAAAGTGTGCCACGAAGTCTTTCTTGTCTCGTACATATGGAAACAACTGTGCCTTAAGGCGGCTAACAGTATTATGTAATCAATACATTGATAAAAATCACTGACAAAACCTGGTAAGAATATACGGTTCAACTACTTAGTTAACTGAGAACCTTGGTCCCTGATGAAACTAACAGGCGACTCATTGTCTAGTCTTTAAAATTAGCAATACTTTCAACAGAAGGTTTAAACAAACCATTTTTTTTATTTCAACTTTAAAACTCAAAAACGACTTAATGCAAGTTTGCGCTTACAAAGAAACCTCCATAAGTTTGCGGGATATCAGAAACATGAAATGTGAATTTCAAATTAAAAATAATTTAATGCTGCGGATTCACAACTACAAAAGCCTGACAAGCTTTGGCTCAGTTCTAACTAAATGCGCGAGTAACTCGGCTAGCATAAAGGCTAACCAGAGATCAAGTAACTCTCAGAGCTGGGTAAGAAAAGAACACAGCGATCATCGTCGCTTCAAACCACTCTAACTTTCAAGAACTCTATTCTTATACATTCTTCTATCTCTTTCTCATTCACATCATGTTGAGAGCTAACGAAAAGTAGAAGTGATAGTATACAGAGGATTTTACGCATTTTGAGAAAGATTTTAATAAAAAATTTTAAAAAGCAAGTGTTTTGGACTAAAACTTTCTGGCAACAGTTTTTTACTTAAAAAGTACAAACTCCAGATGTGAAATGTAAAGGAACTTCGCCAGAATACTTATTATTCGCCGGAATACTTCGCCGGAAAAAGTATAAATGCAATACCTTTTTCAACGTATTCCCGCGTTCATATTCATTATCATCTTCTACTTTTAAATTTATTCCCCTCTCAAAATGTCACATGTAAACAACCTATGCAATGAACAATATGATTTTGCATTTTCCGAGGAGAAATATTCACATTCATAATCGAAAACGTTATTAAATGCATGATATTAAAATTTCTAAGCGCAAAATAAGCAAAATTATTAAACGAAAAGGATAAAACCACCAATCATTACTTCGGCATGGAAGGAAAACTCCAAAAGTATGCTAGAAAAGGGTGCATACTGTTTTAATGTTCCTAAATTTAAATTTTTGCTAACAAGAAAAAATCCGCCCACTCAGAAATTAATTTTAAAGTCTTTAAATACATGTGTTCCAGTAAATAAATTAAATAATAATTCAAGATTTACATTTTAAGCTAAAAATGTAATGTTCACCAGTTTTTGCCGAGGCATGTGGCTCAATGCAAAACAATTTCTAGAACCCTATATGAAAAATATTTAGCAGGAGATAAAGAATAATACATTGTGACCTTTTATGAAGCATGGGTTTAATGCTTCATAAAAGCACAAAATGCAACAAAAAAGGTCTATTTGCTATAAAAAACGCAAACTAATAGAAAAAAGTACAAACTAAGTTCCGTCAATACAAAGAAAGTTTCAGTAAGGGTCTTTTCATTGTCGCAGGATTCTTTTACAATGGGAAATGGACGATTCGAAGAGCGAAACAATATTAAAATCAACTCAATGTAATATCAAGAGAAAGTTTTACGTCCGATATTTACAGAAGACATTCCATTTCTTTATCTCAATTATTTTCAAAGCGTGAAAATTCATCAAGAAGAAAAATGACATATTTCGAAAAGTACCACTGCTTATTTAAAAAAAAAGCCGAATGAATGAATATGAACGCGGGAATACGTTGAAAAAGGCATTGCATTTATACTTTCCAAAGTATTCCGGCGAAGTTCCTTTACATTTCACTTATGGAGTATTGTGCCTTTGGTCTCTTGAAAAGAGTTCTTTCTAAGCCCAAATCCACTACGATTGATGAAATATGGAAATTAATGGAAGCGGAATAATCTCTGGAAACTTTACGAAAATCTCTCCTATCATGTAAACCACAATGCGAATTTATAGTCTGGAAAAATGCTATCAGAACAAACATTTGAAAAATGCTCCTTGCATTTTAAATATTAACTAAACGGCCTCGAAATTATTCTAAAAATTTGTAAACACCCTCTGTAGTTCAACTAATAAGATAATGATTATTTGAACTAAATCCTAAATAAGGGTAAACTTTGTCTTTTACCGTTGATACCAACTTTTAAAATGCTTTCTCCAGGATTCGAACCAGGGCCCATCGGTACGGCAGTCAGTTGGTACGACTCGTGTAATAGCGCTCCTTCCTAGAGAGTTTGAGGAGGGGAAAGGCGAGTTGCAATTGTCCTCCCAAGAACCTACCAGATCAGCTTTATAAGGCTTAGGTCTGGAGATATGAGTAATCAATTCATTTTATTAATATCCTCGTTTTCCAGTAAACCATCCACCAAATTAGCCCTTTATGGACGAGCGTTGTTGTCCACAAAAATGAGTTGAGGGGCCAATTATGTCTCTATAAAGACGCACATAAAGATCTAAGACTTTTTCTTATACCTGGTAACAACCACAGACATAGACATAAAGGTACATAGACAAAAGACATACATAGAAAAACGACTGTACATAGACAAAAGACCATAAAAGTATATGCGCTCGGTCGAGCATGATGCCCGGAGCCTTAAACCTTCATTGCTTTACTGGTCCTTTTCTCGGATGCTAGAGAACAGGCAGCTGGTCCCTGAGTCTCTCCATTGGAAAGTATATTGAGAAACAGGGGTTTCCTCTTCCACTCAAATATTACAACACCATTTTCCAGTCTATTGAAGGCGCTGCCTGTGCGAGACCACACTCCCTATTAGTCTCCCATTTTTATTCGATCTTGCAATTTCTGATTTAGATCTTTCTGCGTTGATGAACCTTATGCACAATTATGCATATATATATATATACCGCGACTGTTGTATCTTACGTTATTTTGTACTATATCAACCGATTTTCATATCAAATTTCATTAAAATCTCTTCATCAGTTCTTGAAACTTGTTCATCAATTTATTGACCTAAATTGATTCCAAATTGCATTTTGTATGCATTTTTTGAATACAACAGTTATTTCCTTAAGTTCTAAAACTTAAAACAAAGTAGAAATTAAAGAGAATATTGTGAACGCTAACTTGAAACAATAAATTCGCTTAAGTCAGCTTTGAATGCCATGCTAATGATAATGAAAGCTTAATTAAGTAGTGAATAATAATATTTCGTTAAACTTCCTCTGGGCCTGCTGTTGGCCATTATTATAAACTGAGGTGACAAACTGAGCTGAGGTCGGTTGGACCCTAGACGATTAAAATACCGTTGCTTGGTCAGATGAGTCACGATTTCAGTTGCTAATAGCGTATGATAGGGTTCGAGCGTGGTGCACAGCCCACGAAGCTATAGATCTAAGTTGTCAACAAGGCAACGTGTAAGCTGGTGGTGGCTCCATAATGGTGTGGCTTGTTTTTTTTTATGTCATGGCCTGAGTCGCCTGATACAACTGAACGGATCATTGACTGAAAATGGTTGTGTTTAGCTTCTTGGAGACCACTTGCAACCATTCATGTACTTCATGTACCCAAATAACGATGAAATTTTTATGGATGACAATGCGCCATATCATTGAGCCACCACTGTTCGCAATTGATTTGAAAACCGTTCTGGACAATTTGAGTGATTTGGCCTCCTAAATTGCTCGATATGAATTTTATTAAACATAATAGAGAGGTCAGTTTGTGCACAAAATTCTGCACCGGCAACACTTTTGAGTTATGGACGTCTATAGAGGCAACATGGCTCAGTATTTCTACAGGGGACTTCCAATGACTTGTTGAATCAATGCCAGATTAAGTTTTTGCACTTTGACGGGCAGAAGGAGGTTCGACAGATATTAGGAGATGTCCCATGACTTTTGTCACCTCAGTGTATTTATGATTTTTTTACATTCAGTTTTATAATAGTAATTATAATGATAATTAATAAGTATAACGTCATTCTTATTTTCGTTTCAGCTACAAAGTACATACTTAAGTCATTTTATTCACGAGATGATGCAATCAATAAATTTGATTCTAAAAATTCCACACATTTTGAGATGGATCTTCAACCTAAATCCAGAGGGGAGATCGAGAATACAGAAATTGAAATTTTTGAAAAACTCAAGGAAAATCTGACATATTTCATTTCTATGCTATCTGTTAATGGCAAGGATCTATACAGTGAGCCATCGAATGTTGTGGAACTATTTATCCGAGACTCAGCTAAAAATGCCACTCATCCTACTTCGCCTCCAGAAGTGAAACGCGAAGATGTAAACAGAGTACTAATTGCTTTCGGAATTGTTCTTTTCGTCATTTTTAGTCTTGCATGTATCTATTTAGCAATTCACTTCTTTCTAGTGAAACCTAAACAACAAAAATAATCAAAAAAAAAAAAAAAAAAAAAAAAAAAAAAAAGAAAAGAAAAGAAAAGAAAAAAAAGAAATGTATATCCTCCAACCCAAGTTCTACTCAAGATTCCAAGCCTGAAAATTATGTTTTAAACACTTGGATTTTCACACTTGTTTTCACAAAATATCCCAATGAAGTCTCTATGTCATAAATCAGAATAAAAGTTGCCAGATGTTTCTTGAAAAAAACGGAGAATAGTCCTTTCCTAAACATGAGAGAAATGGAAGTTGGAAATTTAGATTCTGTTGGATACCATCAAATTTCAGATCAGATTTTACTGGATAGGAAGAGGATTTCCAGTAAATTTTAAAGAGATTAAAAATAGGATGTTTGTTAAAGACTCGTGCGGCGCACCAAATCGAAAGAATTTTACCATTTATTACACAAGATAATATAGCACCTGAAAATAACAACCTTTCAGATTTCAATGAATTTGAAAAATTTGTGTGGAACTCTTGCTGAATGCGAATTCATAAAGCTACCCTTAAGTAAAAAATGTAATGTATTTTAATTTTCATTCTAAATAAATATATTTAGATTAAAGGTATAGTAATCCTAATGTGATTTATTGGACAGCTCAAATGTGAAACACACCGAAAGTAAATAAAATGAAAACAAAAATTGTTAATTATTAAAACAGCTCACTAACCCGAACCATTCTTATGAGCTAAAGCAGAAATTACGGAATTATTTTACGGAAGTGTTTAAGCAATAATGTAAAGTAGCCTTTCCATTTCGCAAAACTGGTTCATCAGGGACCGATCATTTGACAAAAGGTAACATAGCAACACGGCTGAGTAAAAGTTATTTCATATTCCAGAATTGCTGGAAGTAAAAGAGTGAAAATGAAAACAATAAAAAGAATTTATTCATTTGATAATTTGAATGATAACGCGTCAATGAGAAGAGAAAGATTAAAAACTCGTAAAATCATTAATGAACTAAAAGCAGAAAAATAATTTGTCATAGAGTATAATGGAAACGAGAAATTAAATAATTCTCTTTATAAAATTCATCTACAATTTTATATCACAAATAATAAATGTTTACGTGCCTAAATAAAGAAATTAATTAATCGAATTGCGTTCCTTAAAGTCAATGTCGGGTCAATGTGAGCTATTAGCTCTATAAATTTACTAACAGCATCCCCGCTATAATTATTTGAGATGAAAATTGCGGATGAATTTTTTAAAGAGAATTACTTAATCACTTTTTTTTCATTTAACTGTACAATAAATTATTTTTCTTCTTTTAGTACATTAATCATTTTATTAATTTTCAGTAATACCTTATTTATAAAAAATTTTTTATTTGATCGGCCACTGAGCTCATTGATATTATGTAAGTCATTAATGAGCTTATTGTAACAGAGAATTAAAAAAAATGTACTTTCTACTTTTTTATTACAGAAATCACGCAAACCAACTGTTGTTGTCATTATTATATACAATACCCGACATTGAAAATGCAGCGCGAAGGATTGACCAGAAAGTGTTGAAATTCGGCAAACAGAGGGAGACAGCAACGAACAAGTGATATTTATTTCGAAATGATATGCATAATATAGAGGGAGGACAGAGGTCGGCTCATTAGGTTGTAGGACCACACTGGACGGCATTACACGAAGCAACACGTTTAGGTACAGGTCAGTGAGACTACGGATGTTGTCTTGAGGAATTGCTCTTGTCTTGAATCCATTCCCTGTCAAACATTTGCCGCAGTTCATCTTCTAAACGCGGCAATGGCAGGATCTGCCAGTGGCGTTAATACCAAATGCATTCAATTGGGGAGAGATTAGAAGAGAACGGTGGAGAGGGAAGCATCTGACACCTTGCAAAACGTTGCTGATGTGCGAGCCGTATGTAATTAAGAAATATCTTGTCTGAAAAAGGATGATTTGGTAGGGAAAAAAATAAAGATTGTGATTCTTCAAACTCAGGTTGTGCTAAATGTGTCATCATGTTTTTCCACTCCGTGCTACCTTCAGGCCACTACGGTCTTCTTGGTCATCTACGCAATATCGAAAGCTATTAAAAGTTCCAATGTTTTCATATTAAAATAAGTTAAAATATTACCATCAACAAATCATAAAACAACATAATTATTTATAATGCAAGGTTATTTTAAAACGTAATTTACTCAGTTTGGAGCATAATACCACTTCAACATCACTGCTGATGATATTCCATTCTTTTAGTGAAAATAGCACTAAACACTATTTCGTTTTACTGATAAGGGTTATTGAACTTCAAAGCACTTTGGATGTTTACTCACTTTGGATGCTTCAATGCACTTTGGATGCTTCAATGCACTTTGGATGCTACTGAACATTAAAGCGTTTTCTTTTTAAGCGATGATCGGAAATGGAGAAATATTGTGAATATTCCAAGCGAGCAAGAATCATTAAACATATTTGACTACGTTGCGACACTGATTAAATGACCTTCATTCAAAACACTTTTTCTTCTCTTTCAATTTTTAAACCCGCAACCGCAAATACTCGATGACGTTCAAGGCATTTTTGAAAACGTTGGAAACGAATTTGATGATCCACTGGAATTAAGGCAACAGAGTTCGAAACCCATTGCGGAAATTTTAACCCGGTTAATCCCGTCGACTTTCTTAACATATTTGTTTAAAAGTTAATATTATGTTTTGTATTTTCAAAATTATATCTCTTATATTTTGCTGCTCTAATGCTTTTTCTTCCACCCTGCTTTCCCAACCTTTTTTGGGGGGGAGGACGGGGAATATGTAAGACATAACGAAATATGATAGCTGATTTAAAAAAATAATTGGCGACCTTAAAATTAACATTCTAGATTTGGTGATCTTCCCCTGAATTAATCTGTTCTCCCAAATTCCAGATTTTTCTATCTTACATAACGTTTTAATGCAGATATTGTCCAATCAAATTAATTGTAAACCAAAGCTTTCTCTATCTAACTCGAACTGAAACTATCGACTCCCTCCCTTCTACCTTTGAGTTGCAGCGTTCTCTGTCGCATATGCTTTCCTGCTGACAAGATAATGTTGTACTTTAAATACGTAGAAGGAAACAACCTGCACTTTTTTACATATTTCGATATTGCGTAGATGGCCGAGAAGACCGTAGCGGCTTGAAGGTAGAGCCGAGTGGAAAAACATGATGACGCATTTAGCACAACTGAGCATAAAGAATCACAATCTTTATTTTATTTACTTTGTATATCAAATCATCCTTTTGCAGACAAGATATTTCTTAATTATAGTGGAATACAATAAGTTCCATTTTAAATGGCGTTATCTTAGGCAAATAAGTACCAGCATGGAAAAGCAGTGTCTTGCCAGCAGGGAAGCGTAAGCGAAAGAGAACGCTGCAACTCATAGGAAGAAGGGAGAGAATCGATTGTTTCAGTTCGAGTTAGAGAAAGTTTCGGTTTACAATTAATTTGATTGGAAAAGAGGTATCTGCATTAAAACTTTACGTAAGATAGAAAAATCTGGAATTTGGAAAAACAGATGAATTTAGGCGGAGATCACCAAATCTAGAATGTTAATTTTGATGTCGCGAATTATTTTTTAAAGCAGCTATCATATTTTATTATACCTTACATATCCCCTACTTCAAAAGAAAAGTTGGGATAGCAGGATGGAAGAAAAAGCATTAAAGCAGCAAAATATTAGAAACATAATTTTGAAAATACAAAACATAATATTAACTTTTAAACAAAAGTTATCATCGTAGAAGTCTGACTGATATTTTGACTCAGTTTGACATTTCACTGAAAGTCGTAGAATTTTAAATTCAATAAAAATTTTAAGCACTGTATTCTTTTAAAACAATTGCATATTTTAGAGTTCTGAGATAAGAATTTCCAATGAAATTGTGTAAGGATCTCGATGAAAAAATCTCCACAAGGTAAAAGTTCAAATTTTTTCACAAAGTAAATGTTCAAATAAAAATAGTTCAAATTTTTTGTTGACGAAAGTATTTCCATTATAATACAGACTGAGATGCCAACATTCATGTGAAAATATAATACTGAATTTATGATTAATTGAATAACTTCTTCCTATTGTAGATACAGATATTTAATACAACAGACAAATACAGTATAGTAACAAATACAGTATAGTAACATAGTATAATGCAATACTCAATAAAATAAGAATACTTTGACGATTACTTAGCATTTTCTCTCCAACAAAATCAGCGTACCATCGGGGATGCTTAAGTACAACAGATCAAAAAACCTCCGTTCCTTAGGAGAGGTAACTGGTTTTTAACATTGTACAATTATCAAAGTTTTTCTGTTTTTAAAATCTTTCATATTACTTAATAATAATACAACATTATGCAAACTTAAAACTGAAATTGAAGATAAACAACTTGTATAATCAAGTTAGAGTCTTTTTTTTAACCTGTCCGTACAATAAGAAGAAAGAAAATTTTTGTTTTAAAATTTGTGTGCGTGTGTGTGCTGTAGCACTACTGTGCTAAAATATGGTCAGAGGATCGTGACTGGTAAAGAAAATAGAAAAACCAATCACCAAGTCAATCTCATGACCAAAGTTGAATCTCCTAACAGAAAAGAAGAAATATTCAGGGGGATGTTAGGAGTATACCTAGGGGGGGGCAGAGGGTGTGTGCTATTACTTCCTGTATCTTCCTTAAAGAGAGGATGCAAGGAGTAATACACATAGTGTGAAACCTAGTGTCGCATAAAATGAATAAAAACATTCGTCTTTTAATGAAAAATCTAGTATAAAATCCTGATTTTCACAATGTGTTCGAAGAAATTTTCCTCTCCTCATCTTCTGGGCTATGGGGAACGTATACAACAAATTTTGAACCGAAAAACTCTGGGAAGAAGGAAAGGCAGGATAGGAAAGGAGCTAGATTGGGAAAGGTCAAAATCGGGAAAAATAATTTGTCACAGTTAGGATTTAAGTCTAAATTAGATATTAAATGTCATGATCGGGAAAAAAATTTAATGCAGAAGTTTGGAAAATTAAAATAAGTTAATTATGGACAGAGATAGGAATTCTAATATTTCTAACAGTTAATTTAAATTCACTACCTGAACTGAAAGGTTTGAGTCTGGCTGAATGCACAATTTCCGATTTCTTTTTAATTAGAGTATTAGGCTTATAAGGTATTTCTCCCACTTCCCTAGCGTGCTTCGTGGTGTAACGGTAGCACTCTGGGCCGTATTCCAGAGGTCCGTGGTTCGATTCCCGGCGAAGGCGGTTGCTATTTTTTCATCTTTTCTGCTTCCAATTAACCTAATGTCTCTACAGGCTTATCAATTTCACAATTTCAAAAGTAACTTCAGAATATTGTTTTAAAATTTTGTAAGGGCCCGATCTACACATTTGGAGCTTTTATAGTACCTGCTTTTATAGCATTTGGAATCATTACATATATATATATATATAATGTGTCGCGTGCAGTTTCAATTGTCTGTTTCGGCGAAACGCGTGATGGAGTTAGCTTAGTTCGAGATGCATTAAAAAATATTTCCCCTGACGTGCCTTAATGAACTTCGAATTGGGCTATCTGCCATTTACCACTTCTTACTTTTTATTTTTAACTCGAATAATTAGTTAATACTTTTACTATGTTTTAAATATACCTTAATTAGTTTAGCATATTGCTTACTATTAGTATTGATTTTTACTTGTAAATAATCAAATGTTATGTTTTTCTCTTTTAACACATTTCATTGCTACTTATTTTGCTTATGTTAAAGTCTCACGGAACCACAGTATTTCAGCGGCTTTTTAGCGTTGGTACTAGGATTTTTCTTTTAATTTTTTTTAATTTTGCAGCACAATGCGCAAAGTTTTTGACCATATAGGTCTTTTATCGTTTGTTCTTTCGGCTTTACTTTAAATTATATATATATACATATATTCGTGTCCAAAATTAAGAGAATTGGCAAATTATCTCTATTTTTATGAAACGCCTTGAACTAAAGATACTAGTGCCACCGAAGAATTATGCAAATATTCAGAATCAGATATGTAGGAGTACAAGTACATGTCTTCGGAGCTGTGATTGTGGAGGGGATGAAAGGGTACAAGAGGTAAGGAGTTTCCAACGATCTGTCTGCTCGTACTCCTTGTCGACATTCGCCGTGTCATGTGCCAGGTAAAATGATTAGCCACGAACGTATGAATGACAAAATGAGATAGAGAATTTTTGGAACATTGGAGGCAAGCCAATCACAATCATAGGAGACTGCAGAGCTCAATGTAACGCCCAGTGTCGTCTTCAGTATGTGTAAACAGTTTCAGGACATTGGATCCATATCAAGAAGACCTGAACAAGGTATACCAAGATCCAAAACGACGAATGAGGATTGATATTTGGTGCTCTCAAAGTAGCGACGCAGGACTGCTACAGCACTCACTTGAGCAATATGGTAAAACTGGAACCCGCGATCCAAGGTATACAGTTGCCGGAGGACTTCATGAGATAGGGCTGTGTGCCTGACGATCCGCTGTTTGAGTCTTGATCACTGCAGCACACAAAAGAGCGGATCAAGCATGATGGTGCAGAATAGCATGCGTCTTATAGCAGACTTCAGTGAAGCATCGTACTTTTTACAGATGAGTCGAGATTCAGCCTAAACACTGATTCTCCACCTGCCTGTATCTGGAGAGAGTTTTGGACACGATATCATTCCTCCCTCATCAGGGCAAAGAATCATTAGGATATTGAACCTGTGATGGTTTAGCCAGACATTTAGTTGCATGGCCGCTCACACCTGTATGTGTTTGACGAAGATTTCCTGACTGCCATGAGGTATAGGAAGGAGAGATTACAGCTTTATGATCAACTTTTCAGGGGCAAAGTTGTCCTAAGTTCCGGTTTATGGACGACAGCGCTCGTCTGCATGCAGGGGCGATGCAGGGTCCAGTATGCCATCACCTGTTAAGCTCAGCTGTTCGACGATTACCTGGAAAGTGAGGATACACACCGCATGGGTTGACATCTAGATTTCCTGGCCTCAACATTATAGAGCATGTCTAGGAAACGTTTGGGAGCGCAATACCATCTCACTATCTCTCTCCTAAAACCATCCTTCAGCTGAAAACCACTTTGCTGCAGGAGAGGGGTCGACTCTTCAGAGACTCTTCATCTGCGTCCTGTCTAGTATGCAGTCACGAAAAGCAACCTGTCTTTCTGAAAGAGGGGACCATTCCCCATATTAGACTCATTTTCAGCTCGATATTACAACGAAGATTTTGGGATTTTGGACATCCCTGTACTTCTTAGCTTTTCTGATAATCATGCATTCATAAAATTATTTTTGAATAGTACGTATCTTTCGCTGTAACATGCATTCATAAATATATTGTACATTCATAAATATGTTATATATTCATAAATATTCTATACAAGCGTACTCATACCAAATTTCATTAAAATCTGTCCATTAGTTTTTCAGAAATTCGATATAATGTGCAGTCTCTTAATTTTACACCCAAGTATATATATATATATGATATTCTGAATAGAATTATTTTTTGAAATTCACAGAGATATTTCCAAATTTCGAGAAGATATGGAATGGTATTTCGATGTTTAAATCTTGGATTTCCAGAGAAAATTTCAGTCTGTTCTGGAATTTTGTTCTAAAATCTTATTCTATTATGAATGCATTTTAAAATATTTAATACCTAGATATAAATAAATGAATTAAAATAGCAAATGTGAAATAGAGCTTTTCATTTCAAAATCTCTTTTTAGGTGGTTACCCTCTATCAGATTAGTGCCGGAAGGAGAATTTTCCAGCTTCATGGAAGGGTTAGGACCTGGTCAGTTAGTTGGACGACAAGGATTAGCTTCTCCTAGTTTAGGTGACATTCAATTAAGTTTAGGAGATAGAAAAGGTAATTTAGAAGTTGAAGTGATACGAGCTAAAGCCTTACAACCAAAACAAGGAAAAGTTCCCCCAGGTAAGATCACTTTCTTAAATATTGAGCATATAGTAAGATTAATCAACATGGAAATATACCAAAAACAGAAACCGATTATTTCATGCCAGTTTTAATTTGATAAGCATGGCAAATTTATATTTAACACATTGAGTGCCACGCGAATTTATAAAAGAAATTCTCATTAGGCCACGCGAGCAGCTTAGAAGTGGGCTGGTATCGTGGTATAACAATGCCAAGCGCACTTCCTAATATTTCTAGTTAGAATTTTTTTTTTTTTTTTTTTTTTTTTTTTTTTTTTTTTTACTTTTATATGCACTCACTTCTCTGTTGTTCTTGGTCCAGCGCAGACAAAAATGTTTCTTTAGCCTACAACGTGAAAATGTCAATTAAACCAGTTTAATGTCACCTCGCAAACTGCCAGGACAAAGACAGTCTATTTAGCAGTATTTGCAGCTATTACTAAGAAAACACGACACAAACTCCAAAAAAATTTGGAAAGTCTCTACAATGCGAAGATATTGTAAATTATGCTATGAAGAAATTGCGGCACAATTTGGTAAAGAAGTGGCCAGCAATTTCGCTAAATAAATTGCCACATTTTGTGATACCTGCGAATATCAACCGTTTTTAAATCTACTGTGTTTGAATAATGTTCATTAAAACAACGGGTTTTTTTTTTTTTTTTTTTTTTTTTTACATTTTTTAGCGTATTTATCACTATCAATTATCGGAGACTGAGGCGGCCTGAACGGAAAGTTCAACGTCAGTTATCGGTGACTAATGTGGCACTCAACGTGTTAATCTGAAATGCTTTTGATTTTGATACAAGGGAATACGCCGGTTAGTAATAAAATCTGTTTTCAGACTCTCATAGGCAATTTTGAAAATTTGCTCATATTTGGAAAAAAAAGTAACATCAGTCTGCATTTCAGTGAATATACGTAGATAAGGTTACATAAATTATAGCACAAATACTTTGATAATTAACTCAAATAAGTTAGTTATCAAATGCTTACCTAATCTAGCAAGTTGCTTGCTAGATTAGGTAGGTAAGATTATGGCAAAAAAACTCGAGTGCTAACGCCTTGAAGAGAGGGATGTCTTCGAGGAGGACTTCTTAAAGGAACTGGCTGTATTCACATAACACGCGGGGAACCATGAATACTTCCATGCAAACAGCCCGTTGGCCAGAGTTCTCACTTGTGTCTATTAGTATTGAAAAATTTTAACGATCGTTATGTTTTTGCTGGGGTTTCTTGAACTAAGGCAGTCGAAAGATAAAAGTTGATCCCGGGAGAACGGGCTTGCTGCATGGTTGGTTTTCGTAGTTTTTTACATGAGGAGTGTGTCTATAATCCAGTCTTCCTCAGAAAGCCATCCCTTTTCCTTAAGCATTTCGAGGGATAAGAAGTTTTAAAGTGCGACGAAGTCTGAGAAAAAAGTTTGCTTTTGATAACTAAGGTGTTTATATATATATATCTATATATATATATATATATATAAAAGTTTATGGTGTGTGTTTATCTGTTTGTTTGTTTCATCTATAGGGCTTAACAGCTGATTTTAACTTATTGCCTTTCTTTGAGAATTAAACTATATTTTCCCCCCGAATAAAAGTAAGTTGAAGAAAGTGCAGATTGCACTTTTATTGAGAAACGAAGGAAGCGTTTTCTTTCATTGAGTCATGGTATTTAAGTTTCACTAAGTACAGTGCTGCAAATAAGAAGTTCTAAGTCAGAATTCTGTATTTTTATCACCATCATTAATTCTTTATTTTAATTTGAAAGAAAGTTTATTCCTAAAATTTAACTTTAGGAGAATAACGTATAAATTCATCTAGGTCAAATAATTTATAAAAACATCCAATAAAGAGTTCCATTTCACATGCATTAAAAAATAAAAGAAACTCTTGATTGCATTTTCAAATCATAAATCTATTTACATCTTTCAAAACATTATTCATATTTAACAGATTATATTTGGCATATAAAGAATGAATTTATATAAATTGTGAAAAGTCCCATTCCGAGTGGCATTCTTGAAGGCTAAATGGGGAAATGAAGAGAAATGAGACGTAAAAGGAGGCAAATATTGATGAAGAGATGTCGAGCGCAACAAAATTTTGCCAATACGATAAACTATGAATTAATTGGGGTAACACCAGGGACAAACGTTAGCTCACTTTAACTCAAAGTCACGGTTAATCTGAGGGCAGTTAAAAAATACACAAAAAAATAGAAATAGCCCATATTGTAATTAACAGAAAAATACTATCAATAATTTACCTGTACTTTCAAGTAACTTAATCTGGAGAACAAGTTAATTTAGTTTTGTAAATTAAATCAGTATTCAGAGTTAAGATAGCACAGTGTAAATAATTTGACTCCGCATCATTAGAAACGAAGGAACTAAGTTATAAATGATATTCAAGAACAGAGCAGTATTTTCAAAAAACTTGAACAGTATCATTGAGCTTAAACACGTGCGTAACTGCCGGTTACTAGTTTTGTTTTTGCTAGTGCATCGTTTTATAAATCCCAGATTACATGCAATTAAATTACATACTGTTGTGAATATAAAACACTCCTAGATAAGAAAATAAGAAACAAATTAAGAAAGGAAGATTGTTTCAGGGTAACGCTAATGCGACAGAACATAAATTAGGTTAGCACACAGGTTTGTATTTCAGTAGATATCTCTCATTACATGTCGGTATCTTATCTCTAAATTTTAATCTATAAAATTTTTCAATATAAATTAAACTTGCTTACTTGCCACCCTGCAGGTATTTAATGAATAGATATTTTTAAGTTTTGCCAAAAAATATTCCTTTGAATTTAAATAATTACACAAACCAGCCAAAATATTTAACCGAATATGATAAAAGTTATTCTTTTGAAGCCTCAACAGTTTTTATTCGAAAAGATATTTCATCTCGCTGAATGTTTGATGTTCTTAAATATATGGTACGAAGACTGCAAAAGAAAGTCCCTCGGTTTCTGTAAATTACGTACTATACATAATGTTACTCGTATGAATTTCACAAATTCAAACCGAAAATGCTCTCCTAAATTCATGTCCTGGTTCCATGGAAGTCAGGAAATTCCTTTCTATAATATTGAAACCATTCCTAAGCCTTATTTGAAGTTTGAAATAGCACGCTACTTGGCAGAAAAAAAAATTCCACCTCCACTAAAGAATGCAATTGCATAAATGAAAGCTACTTGAATGTCCATGAATTACGATAGGTGAGCTGCTAGAGTTTCCGAGTAGGGATTCACCGGGCTTTATGGAACTCCAAAAAGCATCATTCTCAAGCATTGTTCTTACTAAAGCGCCTTCAAAGAGTGACCTGCTCCTTATCAGAATCAATTAAATCTTCCACTTTTCTCACGTTACAGGGGAAAATGTACAGAATGAGAGAACTTCATTTCAGGTATCCACCGCATCCAGAGGAGTCTTTACGTGGTCTTTATTTTCCCAACTGTTGGTCGTAAGCATATACTTCATTTTGCAAAAATGCTTAAATGACGTAATGATTAAAGTTATCATATTTTTTCATTTAAAAAAAATAATTTTGTACAAAACACGGGATCTAACTTTTTATACGTTCTCTTGGTCCTTATAGTTAGGAAAATTCTATACTCGTCATAAAAAATAAAACGCACAGAATTTGACGTCTGTATGAGAAAAATTGACCGAGAAAATTAATTTAAGTTTGCAATGTTTGATGTTGATGTTTTCCTCTTAATGCCTTGAATGATATTTTTTGTGATTTACTAGTGTTTTTAAATTATAATTTTGTTACATTTGGTACGTCGATAGAATTTTCACACAAGTATTTTGTAAGTTTCCAAAATCTAAAGATGCGTAATTGATATTCCTATGAAGTTTTATTTAGAATCATAACCTGGTAATCGTATAAAAGAATTCACTAAACTACAGGTATTTTTTCGTTTAAAACTAAAATAAATAATATTATAAGTTGGTTGCATGCCAATACTGAAGGCTGCTGGTGTTTTCTAGAATGCGCATTATATAAGACCTCCATTTATAAACATATTTGCGTTGATCAGTATTTTTCATAATAATCTGTATGGAAATACTCGTCGCTTAATATCTTAACACCATTAAACCTTTTTCTAAACTGATATTTTATTTTTAGTTACGTACACATGCTAGCATTTCGCTTCTCAATTTGGGCATGGTCCCTAAATACGATTCCCAACTTTAATACTAATATAAATATATACTATAAATACTTGGTCAATTTTTGTCGTATGGGAATCAAACGTTTTGCATTTTATTTTTTACAAGAAGTATAAACTTCTCCTACATATCGGAGGATGGTATAAAAAAGAAAGATTTCGTAATTTGCAAAATTTGTTTCTTTATATTTCAAAATGCTAAAATATAAATCTTTGCATCATTTAAAATATTTCTGTAACTAGAAGCGCATATGTCTGCGACCGACGGCTGTGAAAATAAAGGCCGGGTGAGGACTTTTGTGGGCACGATGTAGATATGTGAGTATATCGTTTGTGACCTTTGGCAGTACTAAAACATAAATTTTCAGAAATTTTTGGCTGTCAGGTTATTGTTTAAATTAATTATTTTCATTAGCTTCTTAGATGCTCAGTTTTATAGTAAATTTCAGCATTAAAATGTTCTCATGCATCAAATGAAAATAATACAAAATGCCATTTTATATTTGTAGCGCCTTATGTTAAAGTGTACCTTGTTAAAGGCACAAAATGTATTGCTAAGAGAAAGACATCAATTGCAAGGAAGACGCTTGATCCTCTATATCAGCAAACATTAGTATTTCACGAAGATTACAGGAACTGTGTACTACAGGTAAGCATAAATTTCGAAATTCATCTTTTTATTATTCAATTTTTTAAGCTTTTCAAATTAAAGTGTATTCTTAACTATGCAATGCAAAACTAATTACCGTCGAGTTACAATTATTCTTACCTTAACATTTTCTATGAATAACGAATTCGTATATTTCCCCTCAAAACAGATTTACTTCTTAATGCAAATGTAGGCAACATATTACTGGAACAATTTTAGGCCAATCTGCATAATGTACACCTTCATCTAAATTAATTTAATAGCTTTTTAATAACATGTACTCTCCTATATTATACTTTTGTATTACTTAAATTAAACGAAAAATTAAAGAAAAGAACAAAAAGAAATTAACAACAAGCTAAATTTATTCGCATAGGCCCAAAAATAAAGCACTATGAATAACTAAAGTTTCGGATAGGTGGAAGCCGAATAACAGGAATTCTAGTACAATTTTAAAACAACTCTTACACATTGCAAGAGACAGCTTTGCGTACATACTTCATTTTCATTTTTACAACTAATTGTGCTAATTTCCAATGCACAGATAATAGTTATGCGCCAGCAAACTCATTTTTAAGTAGCTAATTTTATATATGTAATATTTCGCTTTTGGAAACATAAAAAATTTAACTGAAAACGGCCATCGAAACAAGCATCTATTAAAGATCTTATGAAGATGTAGAAAAAGAAATGTCCACGAAGTTGTATTCTTCTTATTATTATTATAAGGGCACAGCCCCGATCCTCTTAGCCGGCACAAGCCGGTCGTATGATCAAAAAATTGGACTGGCCAGAAAAAAAAACAAATATAAGAAAAAAAAACTTATAAAGTCAAAAATCTAAGCCTCAGTACCGAATTCCAATTCTATCTTTGTTCGTATTTGTAATCTTCATTATTGTCTCTGCAAAATCTTTCAAATTTGAATAGTTCCTTTTAAAATCTTCCTTAAAATTCTTTCTATATTTCTCGTTTGCACTCCGGGTAAGCGTACATTCATCGACGAAGTGCCTGGCGTCCCCAAACTTATCACATATTAAGCATTTATCATTATTCTGTAGATGGAACCGATTAAAATAAGCCGGGAAACGCCCATGATTAGTCAGTACCTGATTTACATCAACATTATTTATAATATTCATATTCTTGTTTAACTTTATATTTTTCATAACTCTTTTTTTCTTATTAGACGACTCCCAGCAAAAATTCCATTCTGTATAAAGCCAGTTTTCCATTTCAGCAATGGCCTTTTTTCTTGAATCTTGGATTTCAAAATTATCGGTCTCATCCTCAAATGCCGCTATTTTAGCAATAGTGTCCGTTCTTTCATTTCCGTCAAGTCCACTGTGTGCTTTACCCAGTGTTATTTAACAATATGTTTTCTTTCAGCCTTTTTAAACAAGTCTTTTATTTCATTAATCAGTCGATTTTTATGACCTGGTTGGGCGAATACCTAAAGCGCAGATAGGGCATTAGTATAAATATTTATAAAACGTCAAACTGTTAATTTTTTCCTAATCCAATTCAAAGCCTCTGTCAATGCGTATAGTTCTGCTTGATAAACAGAATTCATTGGTTTAAGTTTTATTCTCACATTGCCTATCTCCACTCCATGAAAATAAGTTACCACAACGCTACCCCCCCCCATCAATTCCAGAACCATCTGTAAAAACGTCTACTTCGCTGCCAGAAGTAAACTCAAAATCGTAAAATAATCCAAATCGTGTCATTGGGTGAATAATATCATCATTCTCTTGTTGAAAGGCTTTACTTATGAGTACTTTTTGTCCAATTTCAGTATCTATAATAAATTTATTGGCTAATAGAAACTCTTTGTAGTATGATTTGTATAAAATTGAAAAGGGCGGAACACCCGCAACGACTCAGGCATCTTTAGTCGAAACGGTTCTGAAGACTCTTGTAATGGCAAGCATACAGTCTTTCTGCAGGGTGTCCAATTTCATTCTAATCTTAAGTACCTCCTAAGCCCGGCAGCCCCAAGCTCCGACTTCATATATTACGGATGATATACTACTTTTTTAGGGGGGTCGATAATTTGCAAACACATTTGCACAAGCAAATTTACATGTATTAATATTCTTCTTATATGAGTGTAGTTTAAAAAAATCATTGCAATCGAGACAAGTATCTTACTAATTTATCAATTAGCAGAAAAAAAAGGAAGGGCGCGAAAGTTTAAGAAGCATCTCTCTTCTCCCCCTCTCAACCCAAATTTCCTTTTGACATTTACCTCTGTGAAGCCTTATGTAATGAACTCGCTACTGTGAGCATTTTATTTTGTAAATGCGGGGTGAATCAAAACATCTTTTTTAAAATTCATAAAAATTGTACAATTTGTCATGTAAGGATGCAGTCACATCCAAATTTTGCCAGGAATTCGAATTTCTCTGGCAGAAGGGGGAAAAATCTAATTATTGCAAAAAAATTTATAGTTAAGGATTTTAACGATAATGATTGTAAACTAAGTTTGGTTGATAAGAAACTGCTTCTGCCTGAAAAACGAATAAGTTGTTCCAGCTCTGCGATAGCTTTTTAGACAAAACAGTTGAAAACCTGCCGAAGCTCAGTGACTGTAATAGCACTATAATTCTCATGCGACATTTCGAAGAAACCGGAGGTTTAGCCACTCGAAGCAGCAGTAGCAGATCGTCATTGGTAGATTTTCGTGCAAATCGTGTAACCGGCACAAGTAGAGATTCTACCAGCACAATCAACGGAGCGGTGTTAAAGCAGCAATGCTTGGGAAACTGCGAGAACCACCGGTCTGTTGAGTTCTTCAACCTTGCGAATCTTGCATAATATGTTGCAACTGCATCTCCACAGTCTACCTGTGCTGGAGTCAAATGATAATTCATAAGTAGCAAGAATTCGCTGTATGCATTGAGAAAAGTTGCTAATAATCCACGATGGATTGTGAACAATCCTTGGGACAGATGAAAAACATTTTCCGCTACACAGAACTATTAATACCTGTAACTGTCAAATAACAGCAATGGACAGTCTTAGCGAATACGGCTTGTTCTTTTTTTGAAGAGCCATTGGCAGCAAGTAACACGAACATGTGCTCCATAACACACAAATTTACCTAAAATGTTGTTGCTTCTTATGCCTTTATTCGGAAATCAACCCATTTGCATCAGGCCACTAGCCAAAAACAAAAAATTAAATTCAAAATTATATCACCAAAAAATTAAGACATAAAAATTTCACAATTAGAATGCTAAAAATCTTCACTGATTAGAGGCGAAACAATCGCGTGCTCAGGACATAAGATCTCTAGCCATACGATATAGCAGGAGAACATCACCACTATGCTATAACTTAAAGCGTCAAAGTCCAGACAGAGGAGCAAGTGTTGCTTGTTCATAGTGCCTATTTTACAAATACAGCATTGGATATTAGTCAATATGTCTATTTTGCTGAGATGTTCGGCTAAGCAGTCGTGCCCTGTACCCAGTCTGAAATTAGCCACTGCCTTTCTACGTGGCCTGCAACTGAATTCATTCCAATCATTCCTGATATTCTCCCAGAAGGTTACCTAAAATGTTTCAAGAGGAAGATTGTCTTGTTTGTGGGCACAAAGCCTCACAATGACTTTTTCTTTTCACCATCAGCATTACAGCTGGTCCACTGGGTTAGGTGTTCATCAACTTGGTGAATCACGTCGACGGAATTAAAAAAAAAGCTTGACTATATACAATACAATAAGGAATATTAGAGGATCCGGAACAAGGAGAGAAATCATATGATGAGGACACTGCTATTATAGTATAAGTTTGACATACATATATAAAAGAGTCAAGGTGTGAATACAAGTACAGATGTAAAATTGAACCAGTACAAATATTTAAGTATTACACATCAACCAGGAAGAATTTAAAATATTAAGTTAACAAGAATGTAAATGGATATACAGAATGGCTTGACACAGCTGAAAGTGTTATATGGTGTTAAACTAGTTACGAAGCATTAGAGTGCGGCTGGCAGTATTCATCACAAGTCTCGTCTCCTTGATAGTGAAGGTCCCACTGCATTCACTTCTGGTTTGCGACAAAAATCAGGTAAAGCGTTTTAATTTGAAGTACGAGAAAGGCTTCCATATCTGGTATTCTATGAGTGATGTTCTATTCTTGATGTTTCTATGCCTAGTGAAAAAATTTAAAATATTTTTTCTCTTCCAGGTCACTGCTTCTATATCTGATATTCTATGAGTGATGTTCTATGTTGATATTTCTATGCCTCATGAAAAATGTTAAAATTTTTTTTCTCTTCCAGGTCACTGTTTGGGGAGATTACGGACGAATAGAGAAAAAAGTGTTCATGGGTGTAGCCCAAATTATGTTAGACGAATTGGACCTTTCTAATTATGTGATTGCTTGGTATAAACTATTTCACGAGTCATCACTGATTAACCTCTCAGCTGGCGTGCCACAAACTATGGTATCAGTGGATAGCTTTGGCTGACTACAGCATGCCTTAGCCTTTTCTACTGCAGATCGGACATTACAAAGTGCCACTTGTGCTGCCGGGTGAATGACAGCCCAGCAGTTTACGAATCCATGAAGTCTTATGCACAGAAGCCCGTACCGTCATTTCCAGTGGGAAGAGTGCCTGAAATGTTACGTCAAATATATAAATATTCCTCATCATGACTTTCCTATTCTCCAAAAACAAATATTCATATTTTATATTCTCTTCCACAGTGCAAACTCATTGTGCACGTTTGCTGCGTATGGTTTACTCAGGACTTCACTGATGTATAGGGGTCCACGGGAATAAAAATCAAATTGACCCATTTAAAATCTCATCAAACAATGCCAAAGCTCCAATTTCAAAAATTTATTGCCAAAAGAACAAAGTTGTGTCGCTATCTCCAGCGTAGAAGGATGGTCTTGTTCACTGCTTGAACAATGCATTTGGTAATGTTGCCAACACATTTCAGGCCATTATTTCTAACAGCAGTTTTGTGACTTAGTATTATCAATCTAGATATGAAGAGAAAATAATTTTTCCTCTATTTTCTTTTTCCCTTTTTTATACACTCTCGTAAGTGAAAGAAATATGTGCTAGTTTAAAATGAAAATAGAAATGGTAAATAACAGTAGACAGTAAAATGCACTAATCTTTTTAATAAAATTTAAGATATTTGCAGATAAGTGCAAATTTTTTTTTTGAAGAGCTCGATATTTTTATTGAATGGATATCAAGGTCTACACATCTAGGCACTGCAGACAACGATCATCCCATATATGCTTAAAGAAATGGCGTACACGTTAATTTTATGTAATGGTGACTGCATTAATTTAAGTTATGAAAGAACTGAAATCTTTTGTAATTATTTTTGACAAACATTATAAAAAACGTATATATCATATCTCAGGTCTTAAAGTTAGATCTTATATCATGTAAATTTAGTTTCAACTTTGTAGCAAATTACTTAGTGTGTAAAAAGAATTTTTAAGATTATGATTTATCATTTTCTCCAAAAATGAAAAGAAAAAAATTGTTTTTCTCGTACTGTATGAAATTTTCACGTATACATAATTTTTAACATCTTTGTTGTGTTTTAAAGATTTACATTTTGTAAGAGTGTCTGATTCAAAGACTAAGGAATCATGCCTTGTATATGTTTGTAATGAAACTCAGAAATCTTGAGAAAGATTTGGGGAGTTAAAAAATCAATAAAAACAGGAAAAAAACAGAAAAAATTAAGAAAAACTGATAATTAACTGTGAATATATCTGTACAAGCTCATTGTAGCTACAGTATCATATCATGTTAACATTTTTTTCATTGAATATTATTATATATAAAGCGACTGCAGTTGTAACATTTGTCGGTACAGCTTTTTTGGCTGTTGTCTTCAAGAAGTTTGTTATACGCTTACATTTTAAAAAAAGTATGTTATTGATAAGTTTTGATGATTACAATAATTCTCTATTATAATCATCATATCAATAATGCATGCTACTACATCGATTATTACAATTATTCTACTAAACATAATTAAATTTTCGTATTCATCACTTTAAGATTCTGTGTTTTTATTCTTGTGTAGCCTACATTTTATGCCATATGATTATAAAATACTAATCACATTAATGAAGCATGAATTCTAAGCATATCGTTAGAGAGTGATATGTAAAAGATATGATGTAAAATGTACTTTCCAATGTTAGAGGAACAGAAAAACAAATAATTCAGTTGAAAAATCAATTCAAAACACTTAAATCTTCATTCCAATTAACTCAATGTTGGTACAGCAATCATGTATGCATTTTTAAAAGCATCAACTTTTAATCATCAGTATGAAGCTCATCTCGCAAAACTGAAATTTACCTTTCGACAAATTAAATCTGATATTTTTATTTCCGTAATAAAGCACAAGAAAGTCAAAATTTGTATTTGCAAATTAAATTTATTCAAAATTAAGAGCTCGGGTGCTTTGAGCATGTTAAAAGTATAATAAGTTTAATATAAATATTTAATGTATTAAAGCCATGGAAAATATACTTTTTATACTTAAAACGAAAAGCATATATGTACATGGTGTTTACAGTCCAAGTTATGAAAAATTAAAAGCGTTAATCTTTCAAAACCCTTTTATTTAATTAAAATTCCCAAGTTTTTTGTTGAGAGATTGCAACAATACTGAACTGCAAAGAGAATGTAAAATCAATTTAACCTGATATATTTAATCGCTGGAAATGCGATAATCTGAGCGAGTAACTGTATTTTCCTACCATTAATTATGGATTTTATATGAGGATGTAATACAAATTCCTTTGGCTGATAAATTTAACAAATTAGTGATGTAAACAGCTAGGTTTCCTTAAAAATGATTAAATTTATATTTTTATAAGCTAACAAAGCTATTCTGTATTAGCCCTCTTGGCATTTTTTAGCAGTATTGCTTTCCATTTTGCTCATTTAGCGTAAAGAATGGTCATTCAAATAACAATATTAAATTGATCATTACCAGCACAAACATTGGGATAATAATTTTTCAAATCCTTGTTTTTCACAGAAGGTATGGAATCTCGTTTCCTTAGATCTTCATGATATTTTTTCGATTGAGCTGAAAGGGGACTCTTCTCCTGCTACGCTGATGTAAGAAATTATGTGAGACTAAAAGTACTGAGAGTATCCCTGATGATATTATTCATGTACCTGGGCCTTCTTAAGTTAACAAGATTCCAAATTATCCAAAATCATGATAAACCATTTCTACCAGAAAACTCAAACAGCAAAGGAAAACCCAAATTACTACTGCCGATACTCAACTATGCCCAATATTCCAGCCTCCAAAAAGGCTACAGTACAAACATAAAAACCACCTTCACTGAAATCTGATAGATTTACGAGTATCCCACAAGTCAACAATAAGGTTTTCCAAGCTGAGCATACATTTTCCAGGCGATAAAGCCTGGAAATTATCAGAGTTACTCACTCACTTTCCAGACTAGTTGAAATGAAGGCAGAATATTCAGCAACAGAGGGAAAACTGCCAAAGCTATTGAGAATGCTTCTTTGGCAGGGGTTTACACTGAGAGAAATTTCTGCTAGACATTTCTCTACGCAGCACTGAGTTCCAAAGATATTTCTAATTGTATTCACTGTCCCTGTCAGGTAAAGCAGACAAGATGGCAAATGTATTACATTTTCTCTATATAAGACACAGTGAAGGAAGCAGTTCTACTTGGTACAGGATGAAAAACTTGCGATATCGTTAATAACCAAACAGACAGAAAATCCGAAAAATCAAGTTACTGCTTTAATCCAATGATCAGTTATCTGTGGAAATGCCTTAAAGTATGATTAACTCCCGATTTGTGAAGAATAAGACCAGTTCACAGCATCACAGTAATTTCTGGCTAAGCATATCCACATATAATAATATCTTTATAAAAATAAAGATATTCGAATCGGCAATGTAAAATCTCTGTCTAAAAATGAGCTTCTCGATTTCCACTATTTTATACGAACAACATGACAAAGAAATTCGGTTCCTCTATTTTATAAAAGTAGCTTAAGCAGAGGTTTACCATAGAACTCTAATATTTCGAATTAGAGTTACTTCTTTACTGGTAGATCCACCCTACACACACACATACATACACACACCTTAGAAGAATAAACCACTAAACGCTCGGTTAACATGCTTCAAAAATTAAATTTATTTGAAAATTACTTTCTGTATCACAAAACACTGGACGCTAGTGGTTTGTATACTAGTTGCCAAAGAAGAAATAGACAATATGAAGGACAAATTCAAATGACTCTAACAGAATAATAAAATTCTCCAACAGAAATAATTCATATTTTCAAATTGGGAAACCGTTTTGATCACATTTTTTGCATTTCAATCAAATACTAGTTAATTTTTTCCCCTTAAAAATAAAATATTTAGGAATGGTATTCGATGGCTTACATCCCTTTCACATGCGCTTTATCTAAGGGAAGATGCCTCTGAAACTTTGAGAATCTTATCGAATACGTCCGTGGAGAAATTTCTGCTTGAATTATGTGTGTTTACAAAGCTTTCACATGATCCGCACTAAATTCAGACGTCTGTCAATGGGCATGAAAACCAGTATCGATATTCCAATCAAGCTAGGTTTTCACGTATACCATTTGGTAGATTTTGAGCTAGTTCGATGTTTGGCAGACACGACATAGATAGCGTAAATGCCAATGCAATAAAATGATTCGAAAGTTAATTAATTAATTATCTATTCGAAGTTGAAAAAAAATGAGCCGGTAGCGTTACATACAAATATCATTCAATGAGCATAACTACACACTATAATTTTCTATGGATCCTCAGCTATGATCAGGTAGGCTCTATTTTTGTATGCAATTACGATAAAACATATATTTCGAGTTTTGTAAAACAATAAATGATGCTTGTTCTACGCTTTCATTGATATTCATCATGATTTATCATATATGCTTCTAAACAACAGAACAAATTTTATCTATTCCGATTTACAAGAAGTTCTGAATGTAGTGCAAGATTCTTTTGTTGTGGTAATTCTCTGGCTGTTAAAGGGTCTAAAGAAGAACGAAAGTCGTTGGAATCAACGTTAGCTGTCTTCTTTATTGTTCGCACAATTTATTGTACGCACTGAATGTTCGCATATCGAAATCCACTGATATATGTCCGTAGGCTTCGTAGCAAATAACTGCTATGAAGTGTTACCTTATATACGAATATAACCGTCAGTTCTTGACACTAAAATAATGGTCCAGGAAAACACTTCCATCGGTGTCTTGTTGGACTTTCAAATCTGCAATAAACAGCAAAGCATTAATTAAGCAAAGAAATTTCCCCTTAAAAATCAAAATATTAGGAATGGTTATTCGATGGCTTACATCCCTTTCAACTGCGCTTTATCTAAGGGAAGATGCCTCTGAAACTTTGAGAATCTGATGACCCCTACGTCCGGGAGAAATTTCTGCTTGAAATGGTGTTTACAAGCTTTCAACATGATCCGCACAAATTCATCGTCTGTAAATGCGGCAGAAAACCAGTATCGATATCCAATCAGCTAGGTGTTCACGTATACCATTTTGGTAGATTGAAGCTAGTTCGATTTGCAGACACCGGACATAGATAGCGTAATGCCAATGACCCATAAAATGATCGAAAGTTAATTAATTAATATCTATTCGAAGTGAAAAAAAAGAGGCCGGTTACGCGTTACATACAAATCATTGAGCCAAAAAAAAAAAAAAAAAAAAAAAAAAAAAAAAAAAAAAAAAAAAAAAAAAAAAAAAGACGACAATGAGCATAACTACACACGATAATTTTTATGGATCCTAGCTTATCAGTAGGCTCTATTTTTGTATGCAATTAAATCGCATTAGTAGAGTTTTTAAAACAATAAATGATGCGTCCTGCTTTCATTGATATTATATATTTATCATATGTTCTAAAAAGCAAACAAATTTTATCTATTCCGAGTTTTTGAGTATGAATGTTGAAGATTCTTTTGTTGTGGTATTCTTGTTTAAATTTAAAGAAAAAAAAGTCGTTGGAACACGTTAGCTGTCTTCTTATGTGTTCGCACAATTTATTGTACGCACTTGAATGTTCGCATTCGAAAATCCAACTGAATATGTCGTAGGCTTCGTAGGCCCCTCTATTTTTTTACCTTATTACGAATATAACCGTCAGTTCTTGACACTTAAAATCATGGGTCCAGTTACCTTCATCGGTGTCGTGTTGGACTTTCAAATCTGAAATAACCTGCATTAATTAAAATAATCAAGAAACATAAAAAAATTATAGAGCGTTTTTTTATCTTTTTTCCGAATGCAAAATTTTCATCAAGAGACTAACAAGATTTTAAATATTTTTTTTTTTTGCGGTAAAACCGGGTCTTAAAATGATTCAGAAGATTTTTTTTTTTTTTTTTTTTTTTTTTTTTTTTTTTTTTTTTTTTTTTGTTTTTTTTTTTTTTTTTTTTTTTTTTTTTTTTTTTTTTTTTTTTTTTTTTTTTTTTTTTTTTTTTTTTTTTGTTTTTTTTTTTTTTTTTTTTTTTTTTTTTTTTTTTTTTTTTTTTTTTTTTTATCGTCCCGGTGTGGACAAGGGTGTGTTTACACTAACAGGAATTTGACCAACTGCGCCCCTAACAAGTCGTTTTTTTTTTTTGTATTGTTTATAGTAGTCGCGGAATTTTGTTAAACGCATGCAGAGGTGCGCAGCCGTGAAAATTAATATTCCCAAACCTAGCCTTCCCCACAAGTAATATTCTTTCTTTGTGGGGAGGGATGGTATTCGTGTTCAAAAACTCTCTCAGATTACAGGTAGGCGGAGATCAGTGTTAGGCTGAATCTCGAGCTATCTGTTAAAATGTACATTTTATTGGTTGGTACGCATGTTATTCTGATTTGTTGCTTTAATGCGTTTCTCGGTGCTGGTGGGAACTAAACCGGTGTTGGTTTTTTGTTATCTTTGGCCTTGTATTGTATTCTCCGCAGTTTTGTTTCAGCAGGAGTGCTGTAGCAGTCCCGGTGG